ACCAGTGGTACTCAAAGTGTGGTCCCTGGACCAGGAGTTTCAGCATCACTTGGCAACCGGTTAAAACAGATTGCAAAGAAAAAAAAAAAGAAGTAAAGAAATATAATGCCAACTCTCATGCCCCACCCAGACCCACTGAATCAGAAATGGAGTGAGGTTTTGACGGTGATTTTTAAGAGGCCCTGCAGGTGATTCTGGTGCGTGCTCAAGGTCGGGTACCACTCTGCCCTATGTTGTTTCATTTAATATTTGACTGAAAAGTAAGTATTATACCTGTTTTGCAAATCAGGAAGCTGAGATTTCAAAATGAAAAAAAAAAAACTGGCCAATAATATCCAGCTAGTAAGTGGGGCCTGGCCCCTGGCCGCTGTCCAGTCCCAGCCTCACCCCAGTCCTGTGGCCCTCTGGCTCTTCCCAGAAGACAAGGCAAGCCTAGTTCAGCTTGGGGACCGAGCACGCAGTGTTCCCTCTACTGCAGGGGTTTAAAACCCAGTATGTTTGTTAACCTCCTGGGAAACTTTACTATTAAAACAATAGCAAAAACAGTTTATTATGACGCATTTCAAACATACTCAGAAGTAAAAAGGCCAGAAAAATCAACCTCTGTATGAAAGGGGAGCTTTTCAAAAGGACCCCCCAAGCCCCGCCCAACCCCAGCTCAATTAAATCTGAGACTCTAGGGTAGGACTTGGTGATGTCCTCAGAGCTCCCCAGGTGGTTCGAAAGTGACTGAGCTTCGAGAACACTCTCTGGTACATTTCTCCTCCAGATATTTGCTGGACGCAGTCTGTCGCTTCACTTCTATCTCCACTCCAATGTTACCTCTGGGCAGAGGAGCTTTCCAGATTCCCTTTAACTAAACTGAATCGCATCACCCCTGGATACTCCCCATGCCATGCCATCTCTCTATCCCTCTAACTTTCTTTGTAGCATTTCCACCTCCTATTTCATTATATACTATAGGTTTATTCTCATTAGTGAATATGGTTCATTCCTCAAGAAGCTCATTCATTGAAACAGCAGCTCCAATTTCCTATTCCCTACTTGTGCCTAGTCCCTGTGAGGGCAGTACCACAATGGGAGGCATTCGATCAACATCCGAATGAATAAATGAATGATAGTGGGGCAGAGCAGAGATTTTAACTCAGGACTGTCTGCCCCCAAACCTATGCTCTTCTCACAGTACCATGCGGGATAGCACTTGGCAGCTCTATACTAGTTTTGCTTAGCTTCCAGAAAATGTAGTTCTGAATTGAAGTATGCTGCGTATTTGGTACTGAGTTTATCAGAGTAGACTGGATCTTGTCTAGTTACTCGTTATGAAGTCTTGCATGGCAAACTTAACAGCTCTGGGTCTTACTGCTGCATATAAAATAGGAAAATAGCCTGTCTCTGCCTATCTGATTGTTGAGAGGGATTAATGAAAACTTACATGTAACAGCATTTTGTATATTAAAGCACCATGTGAAGACTATTTATTACTATTGCAACATGGAGAGGAAAAAGAATAGATGACAACAAAGAAAAAGAGTCAGCAAAGTAGAAAAAACAAGTAAAGGAAAGGATGATGGTGTTGGAAAGAATGGTTTCAAAGAAACTTTCTAAATCTGGAATTATATGATTTAATAGAAAAAGAGAAAAAAGTATCAAAATGTTGATTATCAAAAGTAGCCATTTGTCCAAGAACAAGATTCAGAATTATTTGTGTACTAAACTAAGCCACCATCTCTTTTATTTTTAAATATAATTTATTTGTTACATTGCAAAGTCTTTCAAGACCTCTATACTCATTTCAGTCTTTACAAAACATGTACTAGTAACTTTGTTACAGCTTCATTTCGATCATGATCACAGATGTCTGTGGCTTCGGTCTGTAACTGATAGTTACACATGATCCAGACACACAGCAGGTTATTCCCGAGGGAAAAGCCAGCCTGATTCCAATGGATAAAAACCACTGTAAAGTCCTAAAGGGGGGACTAATTCGTCCTATCCTATAAAATCCAACTGGTACACCCTTGACGAAGCAGCTGAAACACTTTGTATGCAAGCTATATTGGACTTCCTCTGTCATGATTAAGGCATTCATCCAATGAATATGCCCCTTGCCTAGCAAAATTTTGGCAAAAACTTTGATCAAGAGGGTCCCTTTTGCCTGGGAACCACATGTAACCTTACTGATGCAAAATCGAGCAATCCAAGAAGCCTAATCAGCCTACCTGGCTCAGTGTCTCTTTATGGGTCTTACTGATGCCAAGAAAATCAGAGTAATTACTAGGAAAATGGGGGTAGATAGGGAGAATCCAGGGGCACATTCCAGGAGACTAGAAATCCTTAGACGGTTATTAAGATAAGAAATATGATAAATAAAATGAATATTGATGGGATTGAAGTAAAGGTCTTAATGCAGCACTATCAAAAGTTGGGTAGATCAGTAGGACCCCCTGCTGGTACCTCAACATGAAGGGGCCCCAAACAAGTCCACTCTATGTACCTTAGCTGGAGGAATTTTAAAAGCCAGAAGGCAAAGACTGCAATGAAAAACCTGACCTGGAATCACCTGGGACAATAGTCAGGTGTATTATCGAGGTGAAGACTGACAGAAGAGCCAGGGTCTTCTGGTCTGATTTCCAGTCAGGGACCAGGAGGCTCAAGGCAATAAGCACAGGTGTTGGTAAAGTGGCCCAGGGCAGGGAAGTGGGTGGTGGAGGAGGAAGAGGCACGTAATGGCATCATCGTGCACGGTGATGAAACAGCACTGACCCACAAGACAGAAAAGGGCAAAGGGCTTTAGGGGAGAGGAGTGGAGGTCTAGGAAGAGTGTGGGACAAGCCGAATTCACTTCTGATGTGGAGCGGTACTCAGAAGACAAGATTTACCAACTGGAGATTAGAGGGAATTCTCTTCCAGAAGTAAAATAAAGGATGGGAGTCAACCTGGAAAGAAAATGAGGCTCTAGCAAAGTGGGTCAGGCAGCATCTAATGCTGGATATGGACTGATGGTTCAAGGAAAAGGCTAGTACCTGACCCAACAGGGTCTCTTGACATTTAATACAGATGGAAACAAAGTGGCCATGGGGCAGTTGCCCTCCAACCTAGCTGGTGAGGCTCAAAGGCACACCTATGGGAATCGCATGGCCTCCAAACTCATGGAAGTCTCTGGGAAGACCTGTAACTTACATCAATGCACCATGACTGCTCTCTTGCCCAGAACAGGTGGAAACAGACATATCTTACAATACGGTTGGTGGGGATAGGAACTATGCTGAATACCACTCCCATCCTCTCCGCAGCAGGGAGGTGGGTCCACTACATGACAAAACACAATGGAAACAATACACAAGACAAAGCCAGTCTCAGCTCAGGCAGTGGATGTTGTCGGATGAAAGGCACAAAATCAAAAGAGCACAAGCCCATAGGGGAACGTGGGGTGAGGTCTGGCTTGACTGGAGGACAGGAGGTGTGTGGATGAGCCATGGGAGATAAAGCTGGAAATGTGAGTTGGGACCACTCTAGTTCTGCATGCATAGCCCACCTGGCAGTGTCTGCCCCCTTACAGAGAGTCAGTGCAGGAGGGCGTTTACGGCACAGGTCTGGAGCTAGACAGCCAAGCCAGTCTTGAGCAATCAACTTAGCCTTTTCCGTGGAAGTAAATTTCTTTTCCATGGAGGTAAAAAGGTGACAATCACAGTGCATTACATTAGGGTTGATGCGAGGATTGAGTAAGTCAATGCCTGCAAAGCACTTAAATAGTGCCTGGAGCCTAAGAAAGCCCGCAATGCGTCAGCTATTACAGTAGTTACTATTATTTTTAGTTCTGCCATCAATAGGGTAATGCGTAGGCTGGAAGGAATCAGGGAGCAGGAAGGCCAAGAAGCTAGTTAAGAGGTCAGCGCAATTCTAGGTGAGAGGTGTCACCGAAAGTGGCAAAGGTCAAGGGGAAAAAAGGAAGGGAAGCGGGCCAGACATCAGATACATCTGAGCAGTGAATTGACAACACTTGGCAAATGCCTGATGTGTTTGGTGTGGAAAACGAATGGTCAGAAGGTGAACGGATGTTGTCTGAACACATGTCCACTTCTGCACCAAGGTAACTGCTGAAATGACACTCGGAAATGAATTCTACCTGCTCTAGACTGTGAGCTTGTGCTTATGCTGCTGTAGCCAGTGGCCCTGGCACACACAGACATGCAGAGCCCCTCCCTTCTCTGGCACTGCAACACTGGTCCTCTGCCAGGAAACCTCCACTTCACCTACTTTGCGTAAAGGAGACTTTTCACCTACTTGCCAGGCAGCTATTCTAGCGCAGGGAGCAACAGATGACCAGCCATCAATCCACCTGGCTGGCTACCTGGCTCCAAAGGCCTCTAGGCACGCCCCCAACTCCATTCCTCCTAGCCTTTCGGTTAAACTTTCTCCCAGAAGCTTCAGACTCAAGTCATGAAGTGCGATAAGGGCGCAGCCGCCAAAGCAAGCAAGTTACTAAAATCACTAGAAGTGACAGTAGGTCCTTTCTCAACAACACTCTTCCCCCCACGCTAGTCACCCTGCACACCCGCTCTGAAAAGTTCAGTCTCTTTTCTATATCCATTCAATCCGGGGATACTCCGTACTACGCCCCTCCCGCCCCCCAGCGCACCTCCCCCGCCCCAGGCCGGACACAGGACTGGCATCCAGCGGGGATGGGGGCTCCCAGTCTCTCGCAGTCAACTGCATGGGGCTAAGATTCCACCGATCCGCCCGTTAACTGGATCATGAACTTGTAACAAAGCACTTCCCACTGTGGGCCTCAGACCTGAGACTAAATTTGGATGACCTCCCCACTCCCCGCGACCCGCAGGGGCAAAGTCAGCTGGAGGCACCGCCCGAGCGCTCGCTCCCTCCTCCCGGCTCCAGGAGACCCGTGGGGTCCGGACTTCGGGCTGCAGCCCCGCACTCCCCGCGGGCAGGGGCACCCCGGGCGCCGCCGCCCCGCAGTCCCCCAGCGGGCCGACCGCTACCTGGTCCAGGAGCCGGTACACGCTGAGGCCCAAGGTCTCCAACAGCAGCTCCCAGCCGGCCCCGGCAACTGCAGGCTGCTGGAGCTCCGCGCAGGGCGGCCAGAACTGCTCCTGGGAGAAGACCCCGGACCCAGCGGCCATCCTTCCGCAGCCGCGGCTCCACCGCCCGCAGGGGAGGCCGGAGACCGGCTCGGTGTGTGTCGGGGGCGGGGAGAGAGGCTGGCCCAGCAAGATTGGCAGGTAACCGAAAGGAGACCGGGAGGAGGCGGGACTTGGGGGAGGAGCCTAAGGGAGGCGAGGCCAGTGAGCGGCGGGCCTGGAGAAGTGGGCCGGGCCGAGCAGAAGTAAAGAGGGTGGAAAAGAAGTAAATCCGAGAAACACTGGACTTGATCTAGGGAGAGGATGAAGGGGCTGGGAAACGGGGAGGCTCCTAAATGGGAAAAGGAAGACACGCATGTCATCTCAGAAACATGTCTGTAACCCATTTCGCACTCCCCCCCCACCCCCGATTCCCAGACTCTCCCCATATCTGCTAGGATGTCTCTCCTTTACCTTCTCTGAGGAAGGTTATGGAAAGTCTCCGAGCGTTTTGGTAGACTTGGGAGGTGAGATGGACAAAGCAGAAATGTTTGAAAATCTCAGGGGTCAAATGCTAGACCCATATTTCAATAAAATTTCCATTCTTTCTGTTTTGCACTTTAAAGCATTTTTTTCTAAGAGGGGGTCCATGGGATTCCCCGAAGGCCAAAGGGGACCATAGCACGAAAAGGATTAGGGAATTAATCCGTAATGGTGATTTGCCAACTGGATTGTGAAAGATGGTCTAAAAGTTATGTGCCTTCCCTCCAGGATTTCTGCAGCTTGCGTAACTTAGGTGTCTTGCAACTAATCTTTTTGTTCCCTCATGTCCCTTTGGTATTACTGTATTTCTCACCACCAGACTGTACTTTGGTTTGAATAAAGCAGACAGTTTAAACAACAAATCAATGTAACAGCACATGGGTGCCAGTAAACTCTGGCAACCCATGTTTCCTAATCTATAAAATAGGGAAAGAATTGTGCAACCAGTTAGCATGGAGGAGGTGACCACATAAAATAAACACAGAACATGTTTGCACAGTGCTTATTGAAGTAAATGTTCATAAAACTTTCCCCTTGTTTTACATTACTATAATGAAATGTTTCTCCTTTTGCACTTGCAAGCAAGCCTTGAAGTTGATGGCAAACCTACACTGATGCCAATTTTCAATAAGAGATCAGACGTGGCAACATAGATAAGTTTCTGATTTATTCTATTCAACGCTGGTTCTATTCCGTTTCATGAGGATGGGAAGAGGGGTGTGGTATATCCATAGACAAAATACACAAGAGGTTAGAGACTACTGTTTTTATAATGCCTTTTAAGTTCTTTCTTCCTTACAAAAACTATTAAAACTAAGATTCAATCACTTAACAAAAGGAATTTCATCAAAAACCATTAGCTATGAAGCATTTTCAAATATCGCCAAGGAATCCCATTTTAAAGGGGTGCTTTAATGAAACTGCACCTTTATCACTATATAGCAATGGATTCATGAAGACAAGCATTAAAGTATAAATGGCATTATGCAAAATATAAAATATAAAGCATGAAATTTAAATTATATTTATGACACATGTTTAGAAGTATATTTACCTACTAAATTCAGAAGGTAAATGTATATTTATTGGGGTATTTTGAGATTTACAACCATGTTTACATTATTACAGCTAATGGGGGAAAAAGCTACATCAGGGAATAATTTTTATTATGTGGCAAAAGTCTGAAAAAGGATTGGAAAGGGGTCTAGAAAGACCTGTTTATTATAATAGGCCAGCCTCTGTCCTTTGTGAAAAATGCTCTCTCCAGCAACATGGCAGGTGACGAAGAGAGGAATAATATACTTGAGGCTTCTTAAAATCCTAACTGACAGAAGCTCTAAGAGCTGAGATTGGTTTCATGAATACTCACAAATGGACTAAAAATGTGGGGCTGGGCCATCGCTGGTGAGAAGCTGGACCAGGGTACTCCTTCACAGATCCTCTAAGAGCTGCCCCTTCCATTCTAAGGAAACCAGAAAATTCCCAGCCAGTCGACCATGGAGCCCTCAAGGCAGTTCATGCTTTTCCTAAAGACTTAGGTAGAAAGAAAGAAAAAGGCAACTGAAAGAAACCACACCTTATGCCTGTGCCAGAGATGGAATTCAAATTTATATTTCCTGCACTGCATGGGAGCTGCAAGGAGATAAATTAACATGAAAGCTGATTCAGGACCATTGAAACACCCGAGATCCTGCCAGAATCAAAACCAGTGACATTCTCACAACTAGGACACATGGAATTATGCAAGAAGAAACAACACTTACAGCAGGTGCATGTATCAAAAGTGAATTACAAAGACCCGAGGAAGTGAGTCTCTATGTGAGAGAGGTAGAAAATGTGTGGACAGAACTGTCAGAAGCAAAGAACCACAGATAACAGACCAATGTGACAGAAATTGTTCAGTATGTATTTGTGATAATTAAAGAAGTAAAAGAAAGTCTAGAAATGGAACACACACACACACACACGAAAAATGACTTTGAAAAAGAATAATAAAAAACCAGACCACTTTCTGCAAATGAAAATTGTAATAGTTGCTAAAATTAGAAACTTAAAAGAGAAGGTAAAATGGTTGTCCTGCCACAACTATTCAAGTTCAAGAGAAAGATAAGGAGGTGGCCACGAGGAAATCCCAAGAAAGGAACACAGAGAGGAAAAGAAGTAAATACATGAACGATGAAGTAAGTGATATTGAAAAGGTGAAACATTTCTGACTGGAGTTCCACAGGAAGAGAACAGAAAGGTTAGGCGGTGAGGTGGATGAGTGAGGAGGAAATAGATAAAGTGGGACTAAAATTCTAAACAGCAAAAAAACACAAAAAACAAACAAACAAATAAAACAGGGCAAAGCCAGAGTTTTGTGTAGAAAATAGTTAAGAGATACTGATTAATTTAGTCTCCTTTGCATGTTAAAATGTAATGACACGAATCTTACAACTCATTAAGAAAACAGACAAACCAATGAAAATGGGCAAAAGATTTAAACAGACATTTCACCAAAGAATATATACTGATGGCTAACAAGAACATGAAAAGATACTCAACATCATTAGTCATTAAGTAATGTAAATTAAAATCATAATGGAATACCAATATGCACCTATTAGATGGCTAAGATTTAAAAGATTGACCAAAACAAGCTTCAGCAAGGTTATGGAAAAATGGAACCCTTATGCATTGCTGACGGGAATGGAAATGGTACAAACACTTTAGAAAACTGCTTAAAAATTTCCTAAAAAGTTAAACATACACATACCACACAATCTAACCATTCCATTTCTAGGTATTTACCCAAGAGGAAAAAAATATATCATTGCCCTTATATATACAAATGTCCATAGCTTCTTAATTTGTAATAGCCAAAAACTGGAAACAACCCAAATGGCTTTCAATGGGTGAACTGATAAAACAAGTTGTGATGTATCCATCAATGAAGTGCTACTCGGCAATAAACATTTAAATGATTAAAATGTGTGTATATGAATGTGTGTGCACCTGTATGTGTTTATATATATATATATATATATATATATATATACACACACACATATATATAATGTAATGCATGCAATTTAGAATAAGTCATTCACTTTAAGAGCGAAGTAACATAACACCTGCAATGTACATTCAAATTGTTCAATTAAAAAATAGTGTAATTTACATAGAGAAATGCAAAAGTGACAACATATAAGTAACTGATGATTTTAGGTAAGGGTAGCAATACTTTCTGTTCTATTCCTTCAAATTTTCTGCATATTTGAAACTGTTCAAAATAGAAATTCTGAGAAAACCCAGCTATATATGTTTACATGGGACAATAACTAAAATATAATAACACAGAAAATGCAGAGGTATGCAGGGAAAACATACACAAGCAAGCCTTAAACAGAAGAAAGCTGATGTGACTCTAAAAATATCAGACAAAATAGACGTCAAGGCAAGAAAAAAATTAGTAGAAAGAAGTTCATGAGTTAAAGGACAAAGACACAATTCTTCAGGAATTCTGAATGCTTAAAATTTATTTTCATTTCACAACATAATCTCACGTTCGTAAGGCAAAAATTGTCACCAACACAGTCTTCCCTCAGTATCTCTGGGGATTGGTTCCATGACCCCCAAGGACACCAAAATCCACAGGTGCTCACATGCCCTGTGTGAAATGGCGTAATATTTGCAAATACCCTATGCACATCCTCCCAAATATTTTAAATCATCACTAGATTACTTACAACACCTAATACAGTATAAATGCTATGTAAAGAGTTGCCTGTGTGTGGCAAATCAAGTTTTGCTTTTTGGAACTTTCTGGAATTTTTTTTCAATTTGTGGTTGAAATCAAGGATTCAGAACGCATAGACATAAAAGGCTGTACAAGGAGAAATTAGCAAGTTCATAAACATAGTGGAACATCTGAAGACTCTTTTCTAGGAAAGGCGTAGGGATCAAGCAATTTGAAAAAGTAGGAAAGCAGTTTTTTAAAGTGGGGGAGGGAAGAGAGGAAACCTTCCCGATCAAATATTAGAATAATGCAGAAAATAGTGTGATATTGACCCAAATCTAAGAAAATAATCATAAAACAATGAAACAACTTTCACCTAGAAACAAATCCACATGCCTATTGAAAGTTAGCATGTGAAAGAAAATGGACAACTTGAAAAATGGTGTTGGAAAAGATGGACTAGCGTTATTCAAAAATGAGATTAACTGTATCATATCAGACACAAACATCAATTCCAGATGTATAAAAGAACTATAAAAGAACTGTGTAAGGTGCATGTTGGAATTTTTAGGAGATAATATAGGAGTAAACCTTTGTGACTTGAGGTTAAAACCTTTTTAAAGACATAAAGCAGCACAAACCAAAGGAAAGATTAATTCTTGTCTACATTCAAAAGCAAGAATCCCTGTTCAACTACATACCATAAACAAATTAAAACCCAACGCAGAGATTGGTAGATTTGATGCTCGCAAAACCAACCAAGGATCGATATGGACAATACACACAGAACTCCTAGATATCAGTGAGAAAAACTCAAAGAATGCATTTGAGAATATGAACAGTGAGAAAACCCAAATAGCACAAAAAACACATGGAAAGTTGTTTAACTTCCACAG